TTCATGATTTCTTGGATATGAGGGTTAGAGGATTAACCTAGTTTAAACCTACCTGGATAGTATAATTTTATGTTAACCAACCAAATTTAATTCTGATTATGATTGATAACAGAAAACGCATATAGGCTATCAAACGGGGCTAACGGAAAGTTGAAATGTTACAGCAAGTTTGTTTTGTTAGGTTAGTTTAAAAGAGTTTTATTTCATTACAATATTTTTTGGCTGCACTTTACTTTAGGCCCTACAGTCATTCGAATGAAAATATCGATTATTCTATTTTTTCATTCGATATATCATTTGGTTAATTAGGTTAGGTTAACCTTACCTAACTAACCAAACGATATATCGAAAAAATCAATTAATCAATATACTTATCGATCTATATTTTCATTCAAATGAGTGTAGGACCTAAAGTTAAGTGCAGCCTTCAATTTGTTATAATCAATATATCGGATAGAAAAAAAAATCGCGTATCTGTTGGCACAAAAAACCGAATGAAAATATTGATTGATACCCTATATCCATTATTCGATATATCGTTTGGTTAGTTAGGTAAGGTTAACCTAAACTAACTAAGTTAACCAAACGATATTGAATGAAACAATCGAATAATCGATATTTTCATTCGGGGGTACATTTCCATATCTGTTGGCTCAAACAACGAATGAAAATATCGATCGATAGGCTATATAGATTATTCGATATATCGTTTGGTTAGTTAGGTAAGGTTAACCTAACCTAACTTACCAAACGATATAGCGAATTAAACAATCCAATAATCAAAATTACTCATTCGGTTGTTTGTGCCAACAGATATGGAAGTGTACCCTTGTTCGGTTGTTTGTGCTAACAGATACGGAAGTCCACCCAAAAATCGTATTACAATCTCTCAACAGTTTCATCCATTGCACTTTCATTGTAACTTATGGAGCCTGCATTCATGTATTTTAAATAGCATTGCCTATGGTGAAAGACTCAACGGCCATTTTAAATGTTTAGATCTTTGCTATTATGGAGTGTAAAAGAATGCTAAGGAGCAAGAATTCATAGGCTTGGCCGGGAGGTTAACCATGATAGACATAGGCCTAAATGTCTTATTTTTAATTATCATTAAGAATAAAATGAAAAATTGAGTAGGCATAGGCATACACTAAAAAACATTAAAGGGGCAAAATTACAAAAGGATAAAAGTACATTTTTATAAAGTTTAGTAAACATGCTATTTATTCACAGAAATGGGTTTTAATCTATGCAGTAAAAATGTAGAACACTACCCACAAGATTAATAGTTTACAAAAGACTACACAAGGACTACTAGGATAACAAAACGTAAATATCACAACATATACATGTCCAGTGATCATAAATAAATATCACAAGAAAAAGAACTTCTTTTTTATCATTATATGGAGATGGAAACAAAATGAATAACTGCGATGAAATAGACAATATCAAAATACTACATTACACTTTTGATGAAAACAAACAAACAGCCGCACCAACTCCAACTATAGCCCCGCCAAAACACAGCCGACAGCCAAAACGATACGTCACGTCATAAAATAAAATCAAGCAGACAACAATTGTTTCTTCTTCTTCAGTGGCTACTGGCCAGGCTGGCCAGTTTTTTTTGTTTGCAATAAGTGATCAGTCAGGCTGTAGACGCTTGTCTGTTTTCCTCCCTAATCCATAGCATATTAGTATTTTATATATATGTTAACCTAACTCCCACAACCGGTTTCCGCACTCCAGAACTCTAGCCTTTACTACTTCCTTCATCACTTCCCATGTCCTAGACCTGTTTCCCTCCATTCCCATAGCATATTAGCATGTTATATACGTTAACCTAACTCCCACAAACGGTTTCCGTACTCTGGAACACTAGCTTTTGCTACTTCCTTCATCACTTCCTACGTTCTGGACCCGTTTTCCTCCCTTCCCATAGCATATTAGTATTTTATATGCGTAACCTTCTTCTGACAAACGGTTTCCACACTCCGGAACACTAGCCTTTACTACTCCCATCATCACTTCCTACGTCCTAGACCAGTTTCTCTCCATTCCCATAGCATATTAGTATGTGATATATGTTAACCTAACTCTCACAAACGGTTTCCACACTCCAGAAAACTAGCCTTTACTTCCTTTGTCACTTCCTACGTCCTAGACCTGTTTCCCTCCATTCCTACAGCATATTAGTATGTTATATACGTTAACCTAACTCCCACAAACGGTTTCCACACTCCGGAACACTAGCCTTTTACTACTTCCTTCATCACTTCCTACGTCCTAGACCTGTTTCCCTCTATTCCTATAGCATATTAGTATATTATATACGTTAACCTAACTCCCATAAACGGTTTCCACACTCCTGAACACTAGCCTTTACTACTTCCTTCATCACTTCCTACGTCCTAGACCTGTTTCCCTCCATTCCTACAGCATATTAGTATGTTATATACGTTAACCTAACTCCCACAAACGGTTTCCACACTCCGGAACACTAGCCTTTACTACTTCCTTCGTCACTTCCTACGTCCTAGACCTGTTTCCCTCCATTCCTACAGCATATTAGTATGTTAAATACGTTAACCTAACTCCCACAAACGGTTTCCACACTCCGGAACACTAGCCTTTACTACTCCCTTCATCACTTCCTACGTCCTAGACCAGTTTCTCTCCATTCCCATAGCATATTAGTATGTGATATATGTTAACCTAACTCCCACAAACGGTTTCCACACTCCGGAACACTAGCCTTTTACTACTTCCTTCATCACTTCCTACGTCCTAGACCTGTTTCCCTCTATTCCTATAGCATATTAGTATATTATATACGTTAACCTAACTCCCATAAACGGTTTCCACACTCCTGAACACTAGCCTTTACTACTTCCTTCGTCACTTCCTACGTTTTAGACCTGTTTCCCTCCATTCCTACAGCATATTAGTATGTTATATACGTTAACCTAACTCCCACAAACGGTTTCCACACTCCGGAACACTAGCCTTTACTACTTCCTTCATCACTTCCTACGTCCTAGACCTGTTTCCCTCTATTCCTATATCATATTAGTATATTATATACGTTAACCTAACTCCCATAAACGGTTTCCACACTCCGGAACACTAGCCTTTACTACTTCCTTCATCACTTCCTACATCGTGGACCTGTTTCCCTCTCTTCCCATATCATATTAGTATTTTATATATATGTTAACCTAACTCCCACAACCGGTTTCCGCACTCCAGAACTCTAGCCTTTACTACTTCCTTCATCACTTCCCATGTCCTAGACCTGTTTCCCTCCATTACCATAGCATATTAGCATGGTATATACGTTAACCTAACTCCCACAAACGGTTTCCATACTCTGGAACAATAGCCTTTGCTACTTCCTTCATCACTTCCCATGTCCTAGACCTGTTTCCCTCCATTACCATAGCATATTAGCATGGTATATACGTTAACCTAACTCCCACAACCGGTTTCCGCACTCCAGAACTCTAGCCTTTACTACTTCCTTCATCACTTCCCATGTCCTAGACCTGTTTCCCTCCATTACCATAGCATATTAGCATGTTATATACGTTAACCTAACTCCCACAAACGGTTTCCATACTCTGGAACACTAACCTTTGCTACTTCCTTCATCACTTCCTACGTCCTGGACCCGTTTCCCTCCCTTCCCATAGCATATTAGTATTTTATATGTGTTAACCTAACTCCGACAAACGGTTTCCACACTCCGGAACACTAGCCTTTACTACTTCCTTCATCAATGCCTACGTTCTGGACATGTTTCCCTCCCTTCCCATAGCATTTTAGGTAACAGGTACAGCCGTGAACTTTGCACATGTTATGCACAATATTCTGCAAGGACTTCCGTCATGACCTCCTATGGCGTATCCAATCAATATGTTTAGCATCATTAGCATATAAACTTTTGGTAAGTTCCTTAAGAAACCATGTCCTAAATACATGCTTTGCACAATAGTCTGCTAGGATTTCCATCATAACTTCTTATTTCGAACCACAGCTTACGAAATTACCCTAACAAATGATCATACACATTACAAAGTTCTTCTCATCTAAGTAGTAGCGTTAGCTGGAATCATATTTTCCCTGCTGTATACCCTCCCATTTCATATATTGGTAACACTGAAGCTTTTGAGAGGACAGCAATTCATCGAAAATTACAGCTGTCCTCTCAACAGCCTAAGACATGTTTATATATATATATATATATATATTATACATATATAAAAATTTGAACGAATGGTGTTTTTGGCCTCTGGGGACATCAAAATGAAAAAGTAAATCGGTCCTGGGTCTAGGTCTTACCGTGCCACCTATGGTAATAGCTACTTCCCTATAGGGAAATTCGCTAAAAGATATAGCATTAACCTAAAGGGGAAATTTCCTAGTAAATATACTAGGAAATAAACCTGTAAATATACTTAAAAATCAAAGTCTGCTTAGTAAGTCAAGATGCTGTTAATGAATCTAAATTTTTCATTGAGATAGAACAAATTGACACTGCTTTGTTTAAAAGGTTTTGTCATTTTAGTTTTCGTGCTGTGATAATTTGACCAGATATTCAGGTTGGAATGTCAGGTACTAACTGTAGTTAGTTGTAAATTCTTCATTGTCAAGTATGTCAAATTTATTTTCAGTACAACAGACTGTTTTGACAGCAAATCATGTACCTAACATAAACCTTTATTAGCTAAGACAATCCAAAGATCAATCAATCTGTTATGAAATCTATTACAGACAGTATGCCCAATCATTTAAATATTGATAAATATACATATGATTAGACTCCTAAAATCATTGGTACACCCAACTGTAACGATTTTAAGTTGTCACCATTGCCAATTATTTACTTTGTCAATACAACAATAGTTAAAAACAGCTTGATATTGTGTACACAAAGTTATAAGTTATTTTGTTTCGGTGGATAAAACATAATAGGTATGTTTTTTTTCTACCCACTAATGAAGTCCTTTTATAAAAATGAAGAGGAAACAGAGAAGCCTTCAGTTTCACCATCAACAGGTACAGTTTCATACTTATGTAATACTTATGTATTAACGATGTGAGCAGTATGAGAAAGAAAGAAAACTTTTCAAACAGTATCACAGTTTTCTAGGGTAGAAACACAGTGATGCCAGGATGGTAGTGAGTTAGTGGCATGGGCGCACTCTTGCTTACTGCGATGCTATATTGGAACCTTTTTTGTAATGGGCAAACAGATAGTGATGCTGAAGGTTTCTGTGCTGGTATCACAGATCTAGGAGACACGCTTAAACAATTGAATCCCTGGATTCTTGTAGAAGAGGGGTTGTTTGACTTGTGTGTAAGGTTTTGAAAAAATGCGAAAGATTTATTCGTTTTAAAGGGAAACCAAAAAAAGGTGTGAGCATGCCACTCTTTGGACCAGAGCCGTTTTGTGGCATCAGCAAATTGCCAACGTTGGCCCAACGGAAACTGGTATTCGTTGGCCCTACAAAGGAAAGAATCGTTGGGCCTTCGTTAGGTTTAAGTATAAAACATTCTAAAACGCATTTTAACGAATTGATTTATTTAAAAGTACATAAATGTTATGGCAGCAGAATATAAGACAAATATTGTAAAAATTTGGATCTAGGCCTATAATAAAATGTAGTCAGATGATGTTGTGATACTAGATACCTGATTAACAGAGAATCATATTACCGTATACTGTAGCACCAAAATTATTTTAAGTATTGTGACCATTGCACCTGTCGGCTATTCTTTGACCACTTGAAAACACCCAAAATCAACAAGCACAGTTAGCTCAGAGGTAAGGCGTGAGCCTCACAAAGTGAAGATACCGGGTTTAAGAACCGATGCGGCCAAATAATTTTTATTTTTTTTTCAAAATTAGTTTTTATCTATCTATCTATATATATAATACGCTAAGCCGATTTTTGTAAACAGAACTCCTCCCTCATTTCTGGACAAAATTTAATGATTAAATTGTAAAAAAAATGGCCTTGACCTGCAGTTTTGCAAAGTGTTTTTCGTTTTTTGAAATCTTTATTAGCTTGGGCAGGATATTCCATCAAAGTTGGGTTTTCTCCCATAAGATTAACATGGGGGAATCTAAATATTTAATTGGAAACTTTGTCCCCACTAATTTGAGAGAACGGCTAGGCGTAGAAACTTGGTAGAGGTGTCCAAAGAAAGGTCTTGGTCTGTAGATGAGTTATCAAAAGAAAAACTAAGCAAAATCCCTTAGGACTCTGCCCCCAGAAGCCTTTAAAGATCCCTCCACAGAGTTGTTTACATTTTGGCCATGTGAATAATATTTTTTAATGAAACAGCTGCTCTTTTTTAAATTGTATTTCAAACAACACACATTTATTGGGAGTTACTGAATTCTACCAAATAAGTATTTTCAATGTTATTGTCTGATTTTAAAATTGATTTTCTTCTTTATCATGTCATGTTTTGCAATATAACGTTCCATTACGAAATCAGTGGAAAATCCTTTTATCTTAGCAATTCTTAAATTATTTCTTACCACGATTACTAGAATCGTGTTTCTTGCTGAACTATATTATATCTATTGTACGGGTTGGTGTCTGCCTTTTTCACCACTTTTGCCTACATTTTCTCTCTGTCTTTCCCCAATGTAAATCACTTAACAAAGCTTGATATTATCTTATTTTAACTTGATATATTACGTTATCTGGATCATCATTCTTCCATTTTAAAATTTTATTCTGAAAAATGAATTTGAGTTATTCATATTTGAGTCATACTCATATATTGATCTAAAAAGGTTAGATACAACATAATACCTCATACAGTACCTTACACAGTGCAATCTTTTACAACACATTTCTAAAACCGTCTAGATTAATATCAGTTCAGCTGATTATTAGGGAAAAAAATCATTAGATATTTATAAAATTTGTTTGACACAACAACGTTTCTGTTCACAAATGATGTAGGTGAGTTAGATTACCTGTATTGGTGAGTAAAAAAACTTATTAATTAATCTGTCTGTGGTAGTGATGTGTCAATACCACAATTTAAAGATTCTCGATACTGGTACCTGAAAAATCTATTCTCAATACCAATATTATTTGTATAGTTTTACCAAATTTTCTGAATGGATAATTGGTTATACTTTACTAACCCCTGTCTTTATGTCCTTCCATTAAGTATTTTTGAGGTAATGGGGTGTTTTTAAATTTTAAAAAATGTATGCAGCAATGAAACATTCTTACCAGCCAATTTATTTGTAAACCCTTCTAAACACATTTATATCATGTTAAAGGTAAAAAATGAAGATCTAACAACAAAAATAAAAAATAAAAGGTTATAGAGGTGTGCCAGCCTTATATTTTCAGTCAAGCCAAACTCGAGGTAATGTCGTGATCATCTCCATCGGTCGTGGAGATATCTTCGTCGTCTTCTGGGATCACTGCAAAATCCGAAATATCCTCCTCAATTCAGAAACATTATTATTTTCATCCAGCAATTGATGATCCCAACATCCTCATTTTCGCTAACGCGGCAAAATCATGAACATCTCCCACAGTCTTGAAGACGTCATCATCGTCTCAAGCGGTCACAGAAAAGTCATCCGCGAATCTGGCCAAATCATTAATATCTTCGGAGGCAGTGTAGACATCATCATCTTCTCCCGCGGTCACAGGAATGTCATTGTTGCGGAAGTTACCACTATTACCACAATCAGGCAAGAAGACAATGTCATCATTGTCTCCTGTGGTGGCGGAAACGTCATCGTCTTCTTGCCTGATTGTGGTAATAGTGGTAACTTCCGCAATGGGTGTGATGGCTATCGGTATCGGAATCAACTTTTGACGATCGATTCTTTATATGGCTACCTTATCAAATTGGACTATTATAATGTCCAAGCATCAGTGGTATTGAGAATCGGCACATCCCTAGTCTGTAAATAGTAAATGTATTAAGGTGGAAATTAATGATAATTAATCTTGTCTATTAAAATAATGGAAAATAGATAGTCAATATTTTTGAGATCGCCCTAAGGACCGAAAGTTTTAAGTTAAATTAAACCTGTGATATGACAGATTTAGAATTATATTGAAAACTTGCCATGTTTCAAAAGCTCCATATTAAATTTTTTCTGTTAACTTGAAACTATTAGCCTACTTTATGACCCATTATTGGTAATTTTGAGACCGTACAAGAAGCTTTAACATTGCCAAATGATGTTTGTGAATAATATATAGTTTATTCAAAGCCAGTTGAATTTGAGTATAAGAAGTTAGTATTGTAATTTGCCAGTTATATTTTAATTATGTGCAGAAATTATTACTGTAATCGGGGCTAGTATGATTTTCAGACCTTATTTGTAAAATAGTCTTAAACACAGACATTTCTCTAGCACTCCATTAGGCTACCTCATCTCCGATTGGCAGACCCTTCCAACTCGACTATGATCAAATAGTTTCTAGAAACATCAGTTGAGCTATGGCTGATGTGCTGTTGTGTATTAATGATGATTTTTATTCTTATATATCTGATATAAGAATTATATCTTATATCAGATTCCAGATCCCGAAACGTTGTGTATTGTTTTTTACATTCGTGATGGTAATTGTCCGCAATAAACCATTGAACAACATTAACTCACCATCACCAACAATGAACTTCAAACAAAGAGTACCTAGGTGCTCCAGTTACTAGTTTTTTTAATAGTTTAGGAGATGTTATTAATTGTTAATACTGTATATTTTGTTTTAGCTGTGGGAGTGGCCTGTGAATTGGACACCAACCTGATTGTAGGCCAGGCATTGCCTGTCACTTTGCTGAAGGTACAGGAGGATTACACTGTCTACGTCCAACCAGCCTCTGAGGATGTAGAGGTAAGCTATCAATCATTATTCAAATTAAGGAAGCACTTATTTCGTTAGTTAAGAATATAATTATGCAAAATAGTTTAGATGCATGTATTTAATATTTACTAAATTTGTTTTTAGTCAATGCTGATATATTCTGCTGTCTTGATGTAGAAGTTATGTGAAATTAACACTTTGCTCAATACTCAAGTAAATTCAACTTGTACAATTATATAGGTACCAGAGCAGGTTTTGTGCAGACTATAGTTAACATTGAGACTTGAGAGATGGGGTTTTTTATAAGTTCAGGAAGTGCCAAGACAAATATTGTAACACTTTTCGTATTGCTCAATGACCTTTCTGAAACAGACAATAATTAAAATAAGGGGAGTAATTTTAAATAGGTTTATGGAGGAACAAAATATTCTACTCTAGTAACAGATCTGTAAGATAAAGTTATGAAAGTGGCTTATTGGCCTAAATTGTATGCATTTGCTTATTGATAATCTGACACTTAATAGTCTAGATCACTCCAGTTCAATGATGTGATGAAATCATCAGAGATATCATGATGTGTGCAATACTGGAATATAATTTGTATATTGAAAGTTAAATGTAAATGCATTGTTTTTTTTTGTTTGTTAAAGATGCCAACTGGTTTATTTTATTTTAATGTCCAATGGTATGTAGAAGAGTACAATTAGATTTGATTGATTCACTAGTGGCTATTTTTGGTAACTTTTTCAGTGATCCGACACCTTCTTGGTTCTATGAGTGACATATTATGAAAAGTCCAACGTAGTGTAGGAAATAGTTGGATCTGATGGTTGAGTGGAATGTATTGTTTGTTGCAGTTGAAGAGCCTCGAGTTGCAGCCGGGTCAAGGTGTCAAGTGTGTATTGAGCAATGTCAAAGAAACAGCAACTGACGAACAACGGCAAGCCTTCACTCAGCTACCTGCTGACACATATGTCATCATGCTGGTCGACGCAGTACAGAGTGAAGGGTGGGTAAAACTAAAGAACTGAACATAGCTGTATGAAAATCAAACAACTTTTGCCTATCTACAATCACTTGCCCATTTTTGCTTGTTAATAGTAGAACAAGTTTACTGAGTAGAATTTAAATCAGAAAAATGTTTTAATCCAACACTTTAATATTTTAAACTGTTGGCTATTGACTATTGACACCATTGACTTCTTGTTTCTTTATCAATATGGACAACCGTTTCAATTAAACAATTAAATGAATTCCAGTTGCATCAACAGTAAAAACTTCTGTTAACTATGTTAAAATTTAGTTTTATCAATTTAACATTGTTGAAATGGAGAAAACTGAAGTTATAACAAGAAAATAATTAATCTATCAGTTATTCTTTGTCTAAACTAAGCTTATAAGATATCGTTGTAATCTGCCTAATATTTACTAAATTTACATGTGAAGCAAATATGTTGTAAAATTAGTGGTTTTCATAGAATTTGGCATCCAATATCTAAAAATCCACCATTTTTAAACAAAATACAAGAGATTTATTCATATTTTATACAAAAATAGTGGTCAATAAGATAATCATTTTTACAGAACTTCAACGCTGTAGCTCAAACAGTTAAGGAGTTTTTGTAAATTCACATACAGACAGATAGACCGAAAACAGAATAAGATAGGACATATGTTGTTGTTATATTACATTTTTTGTTTCTTTTGACATGAAAATAAAGTGACAAAGATTGTTCATAAGGTTGCAAGACACCCTGCATATCGACCTGCTGCTTACTCTCTTATTGTGCTCATTTTAAATAATTTTAAATTAGAGAGCTCTGGGTTCATGGTACAGTAGTTAAATTTAGTATTATTATGTTTTAAAGATTAATAACGGCCATGCCTACAAAAATTGATAGTTCCATTCATTTAAATAAATAATAATTATTAAACCAATTTATTCATGATATTGCTGTCAATAGGAACCCAATTTAAAACCTGCAAAAGGGGTTGTTTCTCTAAATCTTTCATAAAATATATTAATAATAAATATGCAACAAAAATAAAATACCCCCGCCGTAGCAAACCTGCAGACAAAGCGAATTTCCATTTACCTGGCTATTTATATTTCCCCTTCCCCTATAATATTCCCTCAACATTGACAGATTTATTTACTATTTAAATAACAGTACTGGGTTACTGAGCTTTTTAAGTTTTCTGCTTCAGGAAAGGTAATGAGGTGTGTTTTTTAATTGAAATGTTGATAGGGAGTATGAAATAAAGTTGCCAAATTGTATAACAAAAAAGAAGCAAACTTCAACAGTTTATTTATTCTACATAAGAATAACATGGGAATTTTTATTTTTTTGTTTTCTCAGTAACTGTTAGGCACACTATAACCATTCAATATTTTAATTTCTTTTTTAAAATCTCTACAAAATGATTTATGAAAAAATTTTGAAATTGTGTTTTTTAGGGCATTTTGTTAAAACTCTCCATAAACTCCTGTTCCCATAAACAAACTCGTTTGAATGAACATTGTTTACGAGTTTGAACCAAATGTCATCGAAATCAGATCATTTCTTGAGTTATTGCGCTAACGGACATATATACATGAATTTAAATGGAAGTAGTTTTTGACCTCTGGGGGCCTCAAAACAAAAAAATTAATTGGTCCCAGATCAAGGTCTTACCATGAGACTTACGGTAATAGCTTATTCCCTATATGAGAAATTTGCTAAAAGAGACATTTAATAATAGCTGTTGTATAGCTGTTTGATAATTATCGTCCAGCAAGGTTGAAATTGTTCACCAACAACTAACTGTTTCTTTAAATAGAACTGTTAAGTAATAGTAAAGTCAAAAATATTTTAATTGTGTGTTTTTTTATGAGTAATGTCTAGTAACAGTAACACAATAACCTGTACATTTTCAGATTGCAAGTGACACTGTTTGACGGCGAAGGGCAGCTACTTGACCTTCAAGAGAATGAGGTGCAGTCAGTAGAGAAGGTCTGTCCCATGCCCATCCTCAACATGCATCAAAAGGTCAGGATCGCACATGTCAGTGAAGACGGCATCTTTTTGCACAAAATCGCATATGCTGATCTTCTAGCAGATTTACTCCAGAAGCTTTATGAATTTTACAATGACTCTGAACCTGTCGAACAAGAATGGAATAATGGTAACCTCTGCTGTGCTAAATCAGTTGCCGATGAACAATGGTACAGAGCTAAAATATTGGAAACTGGAGAAGAAACTAAAGTTCAGTATGTTGACTATGGAAACACTGAAGTTATTCCTTCCTCCCATCTGCGACAGCTCGACGCATCTTTCTACACACCACATGCTCTCGCTTTGCCCGTGGTTCTTCATGTGACTTGGTCCGTCCCAGTGGAAACCCTGATGGAACTAGCAGGAGAAACTGAGTACAACGCTGTCATTCTGAGGAACAAAACCGGATGGATTGTTGAGTTGGTGGACAGTTCAGGACAGAGTTTGACTGAAAAGTTAGTAGAGTTAGGATTTGTTGTGGCTCTAGATAACTCACCATTCAAAAGGGTCGTAGAAGGAGGCAGGTTCGCTGAGGGCTCTGATATTCCAGCAGAGACTATTACAGATGAAAGCATAATAAAGACTGTATTCTTGATACATGTAAATTCGCCTAATGATTTTTTCCTCCATACAGCAGAAGCTACTCAACTTTTGAAAGTTATAGATGAACGACTTGTTGCTGCTAAAGAGTTTCCTCTCCTCAGGAATGACTCCATTTCTAAGGGTAAAATTGTAGCCGCTCAATTTGATGAAGACGACTTGTGGTATCGAGCAAAAATAATTGATCACTCAGAAAATGAAATAAAAGTCACTTTTATTGACTACGGTAACAGTGTAAAAGTAGCTAAATTAAAAGAGCTTCCTGATGATCTATTGAAGATTCCTGCTCTAGCAATGAACTGCGCTTTAGTCAAACCGGGAGATGGTGAATGGGACGCAGTAACAAGTGACATGTTCAACAAACTTGCAAATGAAGATGGAGTCTCATTTGAATTGAAAATAATCTCTGATGGTGAACCCAATTTTGTATCTCTGTATACAAATGGCGAGTCAGTTGCTGAACATTTGATCGTTGCTAGTAGTATGTCGCAAGTGGATGACTCAAACGTAACTGGAGGAAATGCAGAAAACACCCAGGATCTACAAAAAGAAGCCGAAATGCAAGACATGATTATGGAAAGTGTTGATAAGAAAATAGCAAACATAAAACTGGAAGAAGACATGCAGCAGATTGTGGAGGATTTACTTGCAAATGCACTCAGTTCAAATTTGGGTGAATCCTCTGTAGAAACAGAACAAGAAGTAGACATTGCTGAAAATAGCCTGGTCAAAAATGATGAAAACAACGAAATCCTGGAAGATCAGTCTGTTAGTGAGGTAGTTGAAGGAAGCAAACATGAAGGTGAAATGCAAGACATGATTATGGAAAGTGTTGATGCAAAAATAGAAAACATGCAACTACAAGAAGACATGCAGCAGTTTGTGGAGGATTCACTTGCAAATGCACTCAGTTCAAATTTGGGTGAATCCTCTGTAGAAACAGAACAAGAAGTAGACAGTGCTGAAAGTAGTTTGGTCAAAAATGATGAAAACAAAATCCTGGATGACCATTCTGTTAGTGAGGTAGTTGAAGAAAGCAAACATGCAGCTGAAATGCAAGATATGATTATGAAAAGTTTCGATGCGAAAATAGAAAACATGAAACTACAAGAAGACATGCAGCATGTAGATAATTTTGAAACAGAGAAAGAAGTAGCCAGTGCTGAAAGTCAAATAAAAAATATTGACAACAACAACATCCAAGGAGTAGACCAGTTTGTAAGTGAGGGGATTAAAGAAAACAAGCATGTAACATTAGATACGAGTTCTTCAAATGGTGTTGGTAACGCCCAAGAAGATGAGGACGGATCGATGAAGAATCCCGAAACTTCTGATTCCGTGAATGAGGCTGAATCAAAAGGTAAACATTGCTTTTTTCACCACTTTTGCCTACATTTTATCGTATTATTCTACACATATAAAATATTTATGTAAAAATATATGCTCTTATGGCGTCTAATAAAACCCAAACATAGAAACCTTGCCTAAAATGGTACCCATCTTGACAAATTATTTGCACCTGCCTATATAACGAACTTTGGCGCACTGGGTTGGTAACATTATTGAAAATAACATGACATTTTGGCTGTAAAATATGGTAGGCTACAAAGAGAAAATACTATTTAAGCAGCTACTGTCATGACAGAAATGTCATATTCGTTTTTAAACTAGATCACATAATCCTTTATAAGATACGTTGATTAACAATATGTAAACGTCAATATAGACGTTAAGCCAATTTACAGTATTTTTTGCTTTTTAGAAATGCCACATTGCTATGTTATTTACATTATGTGCTGCCAATGAAGCCGCACGACCATATAAACGAGGAGGCCCCAGTTCAAGAATAAAAGCCAACTTCACTTTAAGTATATTCCACTACACCTAACATTCCGTAGAGAGATTATATTGACAACTTTATGTTATTGATAAGGCTGAGACAACTAACTGACATCCCCCATGTCAATGAATTCCAGCTTTAACAGTAACCCCACAATCAATTTCTGAAAACTCTACTACTTTGTATGGTCACCATTTAATAAGAAAGTATTAAAGTATTAGATGGTTCATTCATTGGCACAGAAGTACGATATGAACTGACTTGAAACTGACTGGAAAAATCAAACTTACACTGTAACGGATATAACTCCCTTTGAAGTTAGATTATGTCTTCCCAAAAAAGCATTTTCTTTCAAAATAAATCATATTACACTGATGAAATCACGGAAGTGTTTAGCTACAAAAGGCCTACCAATACGATTTTAATACTAATTAATGTTTCTTTCAAAGGAAGAGATACCATATAACATACTAATAATAACTCCGACGACGTACGGTATGGGGAATATTTAATATTTTATTCATTGAATGATCAACCAAATTTGGCAACTATAACGCAATTAATATCATTATTGTTTTTACACTTATTACCCTTTAAACAATGCTAAATGCTCAAAATATGTATATTTCACCCAATTTATCGCAGTTAGATGAATTAACGTAAGCCTTAAAAGTAACCGTCGATTTCAACGGGTTTCACCTAGTAATATATATACGCTGTTCAAAAAGAGAAAGTGAAAATTGCTATCCAAATCTTATAGCAGCTACAAGAGTTAAATCCAACCTATTTCAAAAAATGAATCTATGCTTTCATAACTTCGGGACAGGTATTAAGAGAAACTTCACTGAACATCGTGACAACGTTCTGATGAGGGGCATATACCGAGACTGACAGACATGATAAAATACGTTAACCAACTTTCAATGGTGTTGCTGCTTTAGCGTATTCAAAGCAGATTATGGCTGTCCAGTTGGTAGCCCGGAGTTTGTGGGTAAAAAATGGAGCACATGTCTCAAATAGAAGAAATAAAATGACCAAACTTAAATTACTTAACACGGGTTATCAGTAAGGCAACAGTTTTCTTTAATTCTCAATGCTGGACAAACTTTCTTGCAACATGTTAACTCGAATTGAAGCAGAACGTTTAGCATTCATTAGAAGTAATCAGTTAAACATGAGAGCAGAAATAATGTAGGTGAACCTTGACGACGCAAATAGAGATAGGTATTTAAAATTAGTTTCTAACAAGTTTTCAATGCTCTAAGATGTAACTAGAATTACTCGAATTTAAGCATAATGCTCTCCTCTGCGTTATGTTTCATACTATGCGGCTCATTGAGCCGCACGGGTTCTCTAGTAAACATTATAATACATCTTTCCCCATAAAAAAACAGCAAACAAATTTGAAAGAATTTACTAAAAACAATAACCAACCAAACTTCTCCCTTCTTTTGAGACCATTATATTGCATTCTGAAATCTTGATGGTAGCTTGATTTCTCTACGAAGTCTCAGTTGTACTGGCTCGTCTTGCTTTGGAACTGACTGGGAATTGTTCTGTTGAGTGAGTGATGGTTTCAGATGGCGGCGATTTCTTCTTAATGTAGCCCCGTTATCACCTTCCACCCAGTAACTTCTTGGAGTTGGTCCTTGATTAACAATCTTTCCCTGCTCCCACCTTCCTTCATTTCTGAAGACAACTCTTTCGTTATTTCTTACAACCCTTAAGTATTTGGCTGACCAATCATAATATTTTTTCTGCAGCTGTTATCTTGTATTTAACCTGTCTTGTACTCCATCATTCAGCGTTGCTTTCAGCAGTTCCTCAGTAACAGGGATCGTTGTCTTACACCTGCGTTAAAACATCAGCTGAGCTGGAGAATATCCCAGATGCTTAATGGGTATGTTCCTAAGCTCCAAAAAAACCATTTTCAAATTCTTATTGTCATACTGTACTTTCCTAATCAACTCTTTGGCCATTCCAACTGCCCTTTCAGCAAGCCAATTGGATTAGGCATAGCCTGGACTATAATGTCTTGATAATCTTCAGGGCATCTTCATGCTCTACGGTCCATAAGAAGTCCACATCCTTTCTTGTCAAATGTCTGAGGGGTGCAGTGATTTTTGCTAAATTCGGTATGAACCTTGATAAATACTTTAGCATGCCCATTAACCGCATCACCCCTTTCTACATAATCTATTTACATAATCTGGGTCGGGTTGGATTCCTGCAGCCGATACTATGTGTCCCAGATACTTAACTTCGCTCTTCTTAAATTGCATCTTGTTTGGATTAAATTTGATTCCAAGTTTAATCCAAACTGTCACAGAATAATAATAAATGAGTTAATGAGTTGGATCAGGTTTAATGCCCTCTTTTGGCTGTGTCCAAAACTCTCTTTAAATTTTTGTCATGCTCTTCCGATGTCGTTCCTCCTACAATAATATCATCATGTACTATGTTAACTCCCTTCAGGTTTCCAAAGCATTTGTAGTTATTTTCTAGTAAAATTCCGGACCCGAACGGATTCCAAAAGGAAATCTACAAAATTGGTATCTCCCAAATGGGGTACTGACTGTCTACAGTTCACGGCTCTCCTCGTCTAAAAAAATTTGAAAAAACCCATCCTTAAGATCCAAAACAGTAAAATATTTGTAACCACTCAATGTTACCAGAATATAATCAGGGTGTGGCATTAAAAAAGTGCTCTCTCATTACCACCTTGTTCAATGGCATCGGATCTATGCAGATTCTCAAAGACTTATTGGGTTTTTCCACGATCACCTGAGGATTGACTCATGCTGTAGGTTTGTTAACCTTCCGAATCACCCCAGTCTCCTCAAGTTGGTCCAACTTTTCCTTTAGTTTTTCCTGTAAACTGTAAGGTACAGCACCCTCCTTAAGCTGAATATGATGAGTGCCTGGAAACTGTCCCAATCCTTCAAAAGCTGTGTTGTAGTTGGTTAAAACATCGTCACTATCTTCAAAATTCTAACATATCGACGACACTCTCTTAATGAGTCCTAAATTGACACAATCGTTCAGTCCTAAAATTGGCAGTTCATGTTCGACATTCACTACAGAAAAATTCACATCTGCAGTTACACCTGTAATTTTACATTGTACAAGACCTAGTGGTTTGATTTTGAATTTTTCATCTCCCCAGGCTGAGAGTACATAAGAACTACGTTTTACGTGTGTAATGTTCATTTTCCATACATAACTAGCGGGTAAAATACTGATCTCTGCACCTGTATATATAAATTTAACTTGTGTACATAGATCATTCTGTTTTTGTTTAGTGTGCAGGCGACATAAATAAAACACTAAGTCAGTTTAATAATCATATTTAATTGGATTAACATCTTAATACAACATGGGTTGCTATATTCAGTTCTGGAGTCTCAACGGAATTGTCCTCATAGGCCTCTAAAGCATGGATACAAAGAGTACTAAAACTAATTGCAAGAAATACTTAGCCTATATAATATTAAATACCTATATGATATCAAACATCTCCTTTCTTTTTTTTACAAGAATGGCTTTTATTATGTTAACTCAAGATCTAACAGTTTTTCTTATAGCCTGTTTACAAGTCTAATCTTTGAGGTCTTTCGATCAGTCTACCATACCTAGAGGTTGGGAGTGAGATAGGTGTAGGTTGGATGGTACCAAAGGATGGAGCATGGTTGGGGCTGAAGTCAGATTGGGTTTGGTTGTGAACTTGAGTTTCAGGAGTAGGTCTATGTTGGGTTTAAGTCTCTGGTTGTTTGATTGGATTATGTAGGAGTTCTGGATTAACAAACGTTGGGTTTTGATTTAGGGACTCCCTTAAATGTATCATGTTTCTCCTGACTTCTCTCCCATCATTCTGTTTTACTATGAATGACATGTGTGTAATAGATGAGTGAACGAAGTGAACGAATCTATGTATCGTGTATAGCGGAGTCGGAGAAAAGTTGTCTGTGAGTGTGTTCGCACCTAAAACTCAAGAACCGTTACACTTATAGCGTTCAAATTTTGCACAAATAGTTATGACACCAGTGTAAAGACACCATTAAAATTCTAGACGATTCCGCTCAGTAGTAATTATAAAATACTTAAAAAACATTTTTAAATTTGCCCCATAAGAATAACATTAGGAGCCACCTTCTTCTTCTTTTTATTTGTTTACGTTTTGCGACCAACAATTTTGTTGTCTACTTAAGGCAGAGAGAACAACTTTTACTCTAAGCTCTTTCATTCATCGAGTAAACAGTTTGGCGTCTATGAATATATATCATTATAATTTCACAGCTTTCAGAATAATGTTATTTAAGCTAATTAAATTTCACAACTTTTAGATTAATAAATTGAACTTAACAATATTAGTCGGCAGTTATATACCGTTTATGTTCAGTATTAAAATTCACCTTTAAATTAAAAGTATATAGGTATGTATGTATTTTGAACAAAGCAGCTTTTTACATTATTCAATTTAATGTTGGCATTGAATATTAAATATTCAAAGATGTTGGTAT